TTGTTTAATGTCATCTGGCAATGCGTTGTAAGGTAACGTACATGTATTGTATGTGGATTTCTGATAGTGAGCTGTTGATACTGACACTTGAACGTGATTTTTACGACGTATGCTGCCCCCTTCTCTCGATACAAACCTCAAAAGATCCTCTCAAAACAAATTATTGTGTTATTATTTCAGATTTTTTCAATTACTGGTCTGTACTTAATCAAATAAAAACATTTAAATAATTTCCCTCCTATATATCACCTTGACTTAAATATTCTTTGTAAATGCCTGCAACAGTTCTGTGTCTTTATTTTAGAGTTTATTATACATTTATATACATTTTTGTAGCACACAATACATTTTGATTTTGTTATATGTTACAAATTATCGTGTTTTACAGCTTTCTAATCCTTTGTATAAATATATCATACGCTAGGGAAAGACTAGCGAAAAGAAAAACTTTTTGGCAGTTTATGGGAAAACATTTCGTTCACAGGTGAAGGATAAGTGGGGGGTCATGTGGGAAAATGAAGGGGAACAGATTGGATCCGGATTTACAAGAACTGTTTTACTGTGTCTAAGAACACCGGCCAGGTACCTAAACAATCTTAAAACTTTCTCTTAGAATACTAGTGATTTTTTTTCAGATTTTTTTTCAATTGTTGGCCATAGAAAAAAAGATCGTAATTTGTCGTCAAGGTCTTGGTTGTCCGGTAGACTCCTGCGACCTTCCTCCAGGAGCAAGGTCACAGGATGGCGGCAGAAACTTTGGCACATGTACCTAGGACGCGGCAAAATAGTTTCTTAGTGCGGAATCGGATGCCTACGCTCTCACATCTGTAGTTGTTCACATAATAGAGAAAAGTTGTTTTCCCTTACGTAAGAATTGACTCTTGTATACGTATAAATATGACAGTATAATAAATATAATTCCCTAAGTATATACAATCCGAACACGTGCGAAAACTCTGCACTTTGTAAATAATACTTGTATGAAAACTGAAAATTGATTTAAAGTAGCACACAACTGCGGGCGCCCAACATGTGTTTGTAATAAATGTGCATTATAGGCCCGGTACTATGCGACAGAAACCATTCCTGAGTGTTGAGACTGAAATGCACACAAAATAAAAATGCCCCTTTAATTTTATCGGGAAAGAAATTTCGGTATTTTCCTTCAAATTAATTTTATACTTATTTCGGCTTCTGCTCTTTTCTGTCTGTCCTCGGGAAGACCCTAGTGCCCTCTAGAATGAGGGCACCCAAGATAATGAAATATGTAAAAGAACAATCGAAAAGGTCGACTTTTGTAAAATATTGCCCAAGAACATCATATGTGTTGCAATGATTTATTTTTCGAAATGTAACTGGATTTATCCACTTTTTCGTTATCATTGCCATGTAATGAGAGTTTTTCTGCCGAAAATTCGCCATTATTACATAACTTTCTCTCCCGAAGAAGTTCCTTCTTAATCCCAAAATTTGGCGTCTTTTTGGAGAAAAAATTTGACATTGTTAGGCTTAATTTCAGTGCTACCAAAACCAAAATACCCGTATCAAATTCTCGGGGCTTCGAGGTCGGTTAGATCGATCGAGAATATCAGTTTTGGAGAACATCGTCTAAACCGTAGGGCGCTAGCGTTGACCACAAACGCATAGAGAGATGTTTTGGCGGAAACTAATTTTCCGGTACTAAGGGCCACACAAAATGAGGATTCTAACTACACTAGGTGTTAAAGAAAGTAATTTACTACATATAGGAACAATATTTATTCGCTTATTGTATATGGGTCCACCTCTTCAGGGCCCCAAAATACGAATTTTGACGAAAAATCGCCGCTTGCCGTCACAACATAGCAATGCATTCTCTACTCAAGAATGAAGCAGACGAGAAAGAAAAATGTATATGTTTTTTGATCAAATACTATTTTCTCATTATAAATATTACAAGAAAGTAAACTAACCCCTCTGAGTTAACTCATGTGTGCTTTAAAAATTATGTTCTACAACATTTTTTTGTATAATTAATTTTTGAGCAAATTTGTTCATTGCCGAGTGCAATTTTTTTTGCATTGTAGCAACGGAAACAAATGGTGTAACAGTCATTCACATACATAGATATAATTCTCCAAATACATGCTGCGTTTGCCAAAGGTCAGTTTTTAGTTATATTGTTAGTTTTATCAAATGGTTACCACATTGTAACAAATTCACAATTAGTACAGCTGCGTGAGACAGATGATTGAACAGGTGAGCCCAACTACGTGGACACAAAGGCTCGTAACAGACTACGCCGAGAAATGCGTTGCGAGAACAGTGCGATGAGAAATGTAGAAAATCGAATCAAGGGACACCTATCGACTCCCACACACCTGAAAAAGGTATCTCGTTATTCTCGCTCGTTATCCTCCCTCAGCGAGTGAGTTTTCTCGGACGTGTTTCTATTCCATTTGTTTTATGACATTTCGGCATTCGCTGCCGTAGGAAAACATTAAACAGTGCGTAGAATTTGAGTGAGGTTATAATATTTAGCTGTAAACTAAGTGGATAAACAACCAGTTTTTGAATTGTTTACTCGAATTTTATCTTTTGAAACAGATAAAACGAAAAAAAAAGAAGTGTGTGGAAGATATTCTTACTTGAAGAAGCCTGTACATATTGAGCAATATAAAAATTTGAAACAAGAAACTTGAAGGGGTACTATTTTGAAAGAATTGAATTAACTCATTATTTTCCTTAATTCGTATTTATTATCTATGAATGAATTTATTAATTGCAAATTTTATTACATCATTCACTACTTATTCATAATTGAACCAACAGCTAGTAAAACAGTGGAGATTACAGATCTCAAGAAAATATGCACAGATTGTACTTATGAAGTAATGCATTTCTCTTAAAAAAATTCAAACTCTTTAAACAGATGGTTTACGTTTATGGTAACAAAACAATGATTCAACGGGTTAAAATTACACAAGAGTATTTAATAAAACCAGAAATGGGACCCGTAGCTGATATCATTGCTAACTGCTATCACCAAAGAGTATATCTGGTCACCACTTTCGGCGTGTGGCATATAAAGGCATTTCGAGACATCGAATAACCTATTTCTAGTGTGTGGGTGCAGCCTCCCTGCCCACTTTCTTCATTTCTCGTCGCACATTTCTCATAATGCATCTCTCAGTGTAACCTGTTGCGGGCCAAAGGAGATGGATTCGAAACTCCATTAAGGCCTGAATGTTTGAAGTTGTGTTCGTCGCGTGGGATCATTACGACACCCTCGTGCATTATATCTACACCACCAAGGCAGAGACTATCTGACAGTCAGATGGACGGACAGAAAGACGAGGAGCCAGCCAGCTATCCAGGGGAACAAAGTGACTAAGGGAGGGAAGGACGGATGGACGGACGGACGGACGGACAGACAGGCAGACGGTCGGATATTTTCTCTGGTACGTGCCAATATACGGAGTAATAAATGTCGCATCGAGAAAAACATGTAAATTGGAAAACCGATGTCGATATTACATGTTTGTCGAAAATACACGATCTGGGGTCCGCTGATACCGAAGTGTTTTCAAAACATTCGACCGTCCATCCATCCGTCCGTCCGTCCGTCCGTCCGTCCGTCCGTCCGTCCGTCCGTCCGTCCGTCCGTCCGCACCGCCGTCCGTCGCCGTGCCGTCGCCCGTGCCGCCGTCCGTCGTCCGTCCGTCCGGCCGTCCGTTCCGGCCGTCAGCCGTCCGTCGCCTCGCCCGTCGCGCCCCGGTCGTCCGCCTCGCGCGTCCGCCCCGTCCGTAACCCGTCCGCCCGTTCGCCCGCCGTCCGCCCCGTCCGCCCGTCCGCCCGTCCGCCTTGAATAACACTAGCCTCTAAACTTTTAGTGCATTTTGCAAAATGCATATTCTCCGTTCGATCTGCCCGACACAACGCCCTGCGATTTTGAAAAGAGTATTTGAATTTTTGGGGGTACGATTAAATGAAGCCCTGGGAAATTTTTTAAAAAATTTTTAAAAAATTGCTCCAAAGTTTGTTTCTTTTGTAAAGGGATAGTCAACACACTGATAAAAGATGTCCCGTTAATTTTGTGTTACTAATGTCGTTTCTATCCTTGCAACCGTATTACCTGCAAACTTCACTTGGTAACCTTGTGCAGTGACAGTACAAGTAGCGACCTCGATCACACACGTGTTTGTGCAGTGGAGATGAGCATTTAGCCACGTCTCATCCCATTGGAGAGGAAACTAGGCAATACGACCATGATAACCCTTCACCCGCCATGCCACCGTCCTTAGGTAAGCTACTGTTTAGGAGCAAATCACTATTGCACGATTAGCACACACTACAAGATACGTTGTACATAAGCCTAGAATGTAAGAGTAATATATGGTATAAAAGTTTTAATTTTTGTATATCATGACTGATTTCTGAACACTAATGCCCGGCACGCCCTCTGCAGCACGCACAAGCGTTTTGCCGTACTTTTCTGCGGCTGGCAACCCGAATACAGCCTACTCGAGTTTTTTTTTTTTATTCATATATTTATTTTCTTTCTTAATTTAAGGAGAAAATTTTGTTTTATTATAGGCTATAATTTAATTTTAAATTTTCTAAAAGAATCGCAATATAAATAATTTGATGTCGTGCGTGAATGATATAAAATAATTAATATAAAATCTTTAAAATTCGTATTTTAAGATCCTGCTGACGTTTAAGAAGTTATAAGCAGGGAGAGGTCCTTTCTGGCTCGAATAGGGCCCAGAGGGCCGAAGTTCGGTTGCCATGTTGTTGGGATATGCTAACTACGTTGGGTAAAAAAGACGAGGAAGAGGAGGGAGGGAGGGAGAGAGAGGGAGTGGGAGGGAGAAAATAATTCAATGGAGTCAGAGTGAGTGGTGAAAAGAGAGCGAGGAGAGAAAGACGAGAGGCAAGACGACGAGAGAGGCGGGCGAGAGGAGAGAGCGAGAGAGAGAGAGCGAGAGAGAGAGGCGGAGAGAGAGGAAGGAGGCGAGAGAGAGAGCGAGAGAGAGGACGAGGAGAGAGAGCGAGAGAGAGAGCGAGAGAGAGAGAGAGAGGGAGAGAGGGCAGAGAGAGAGAGCGAGGAAGAGGCGAGAGAACGAGAGAAGGAGAGAAGAAGGGGAGAGCAGAGGCAAGCGAGAGAAGAGGAGGCGAGGACGAGAAAGGAGGTACGAGAGGAGAGAGCGAGAGAGAGACGAGAGAGAGAGGCGAGAGAGAGAGAGAGCGAAGAGAGAGAGCGAGACGAGAGAGAGCGAGGAGAGAGAGAGAGAGAGAGAAGAGAGCGAGGAGAGAGAGAGCGCGAGGAGAGAGAGGCGAGAGAGAGAGAGCGAGAGCGGTAGAGAGCGAGAGAGAGAGAGCAGAGCGAGAGAGAGAGCGAGGAGCGAGAGAGAGAGCGAGAGAGAGAGAGCGAGAGGAGAGAGAGCAGAGAGAGGAGAGAGAGCGAGAGAGTGAGAAGAGACTGAGAGAGAGGAGCGAGAGGAGAGAGCGAGAGCGAGAGAGGAGACGAGAGAGAGAGCGAGAGAGAGAGAGCGAGAGAGAGAGAAGCGAGAGAGAGAGCGAGAGGAGAGAGCGAAGAGAGAGAGCGAGAGAGAGAGAGGCGAGAGAGAGAGAGCAGAGAGAGAGGAGCGAGCAGAGAGGCGAATGAAGAGCAGCAGAGGCGAGAGAGAGAGAGCGAGCAGGAGATGAGAAGCGAGAGAGAGAGAGCGAGAGAGAGAGAGCGAGTAGAGAGAGGGATAAGAGGCGAGATAGAGAGAGGAGATGGAGAGGAGATGAGAGGCGAGAGAAGGAGAGATGGGCGAGAGAGAGAGCGAGATAGAGAGGCGAGAAGAGAGAGAGAGCGAGAGATGAGAGGCGAGAGAGAGATGCGAGAGGAGAGAGCGAGGAGAGCGAGAGCAGAGAGAGGAGAGAGAGCAGAGGAGAGAGAGAGAGCGAGAGAGACGGAGAGAGGCGAGAGAGAGCGAGAGAGAGCGGAGAGAAAGAGAGTGCGTGTGCGTGCGAGTGTGGGCGTGCATGTGTGCTGAGAAAAGAAGATGAATGAGAGAAAAAAGAGGAATGAAAGGGAAAGGGGAATGAAGAAAGAGGGAGAGGAAAGGAAAGGGAGGAAGAGAGAGATCAAATTAGAGAGGACGACAGATAGCGAGGATGGGAATATTTAAAAAGCAGATTAAAGGATGACAGAATTAAAGGAGAGTCAGATAAAAAGCAGTAATTGGGAAGGAGGTACTGCCTACGCGCGAAATATATGTAGCACAAAAGAAATGTCACACGTCATTGTGTTTGTATTCTGACAGGAGAGAATGATACCTAATTATCCAGTCTGTTATTATATTGTCTTTCCATCTTTTGACACGCAAGAATAATTGTCCCCGTTTCAGCGGTTAATTATGTTTGGAATGAATCCCTCTTTTCGAGGTATACAACACACTCCCGATTGGTGGATTTGAAACATTTCAAGATTAAAAGGAGAAATATAAATATTTTATATGCATACCTTGTTCAATGTAATCCTCATCAGGAGGCATAACATCATCATATCGAGACAACAACCTTCTTATAGGATACAGAATACGTTGTTTCATTCCTACTGCTCCATCGGCCATTTCTGTCCCAATGCGGTTAACTAAATTTGTCAATAGCGGTCCCGCAAGACGGACGTAGAAACAAACACTCATTATACTTGTTCAACAACTTCAAGTTCACACGGAGTTAGGATTAATTTCTTGCATTGATCACATGTTCCATTACAGTTTTCACAATAAAGCTTACATTGCACGAAATAAAACTGTTGGAGATCGTTCACAATTATGTATTCTAAGTTTATTTCGTGTAGAAGGAGAACTGAACTAAAAAATCTATCGTCTATGCTAGGCAAGGTTGTTTTACCCTTCTCCGCATTGCCCGCAATATTCCCTCTTTTTCTTGACACCCTTTTCACTTCCACACATTTTCATCGTCACAATCGCTGAAGTTACCACATTCTCATATATTTAAAATTTACAACGTATTTTAAACATCAACATCTAATTTTAAATCACTTTTGAAATCGCAGACATTTGTTCACCACGCTTCCATCAGTTGTCGACGCACAGTGAAAAGTCTTTCTGCTTGCTCTCCCGCGGCACATGAACGTCGGCTACCGGCGTTTGTAAGTTGTTGAGGGTCCATTGGGAGAGAAATAAAACAAAGGAAGCGACCCACACATATGAAATGGTAAAAAACGCCTTCCAAAAAAGGTCGCTGCATCGCGCCCGCCCCGCGGCACATTTCTTAACAGATGGCCGCCGTTCTTTCTCGCGCCGTTTCTCAGCTGTCTGCTTCCATGCTCGCCCCGCGCAGGCAACCGCTCTCTTTCTCCGCGTCCCCACACTAAGGCGCGAGTTAATTACGCCGGGAAATGACTGATAGCAGAGCTTCGGTTTATGTGATTTTTACCTTTTCACCGATGTTACGGTCTAGGAAATATACATTCCACGAGTTACGGCATCATTAAATTGATTAGTGTACACAAGAGGCTGGCATAGATAACAAATCGTAAGTTGTGAAGGAACTCCAAAGCGTAAAACAGAGGTCACGTCAATATCTAATTGAAGTGGAGGTTACATACGGGAAACCTTTAAAATATAATGTATTAGCGTAAGTAATAATTTATGTCCCACACCCCGCCAAAATGTGACCAATTGTCCCTCTTAAAAATTGTTTAAATTTTGTCATGCGTTAATAGTACAAATTAGTGTTACTATTCCACTCCTGAAATTAAAACCAATAGTGTTTAACCATTCATACAAAATACCCCAATCAGGGCGGTGTATCTGAAAAAGTTTATCGCTTTTTCTATCCAATTTTTCTTTACTGGTCAATCATTAACTGTGACTCATCTATCTTAGGAGGCGTTATATATCGATTGCTATATAGGCGTTCAATAAACAGCGTAGGTACTACAACATAACCTCTGATTTTAACATACGCTTTCAGTTATTTTCAATATTTGACGCATTTTGGAACTCTCTTGGACATAATTTCACTCATGGAAGAGTCCTATTAAATACCACTCGTGCTTTGGAAATTCTCAGATAAATCCTCTCTTCGCTTCGCGAGTCAGGAAATAATTGACAGTTTCCACAGCATTCATGTTATTACCTGTGATAAATAATTATTAATTAACGCGCGACAACACCGGAAGCGTGAAGCCAACGCCTTGCCGCTCGAGCGTACCTCTGATCGGGAGGTTCCGATAAGGGGGCCGAAATTTAGTATTTGTGTTTAACACAGTTGATTTTGTGGTGGGTGCCAGAATCGAATTCGTGGGCAGACTTCTGATCAGTAGGTTCCCCGATCGCTTCCAGGCGAATGCCGGAACAGCACTCTTGAATGTACGGTTCCAGGACCGTACACAATCGTAACCCGCGACCCTTCGGACCGAAGTGCTGAGAAGGCTCGGAACGTACGGTACACGCTCTTAGCCACCGCAGCCATCCAGGTCGAGAAATTAACCTAATTTAAATTTCTTTTGTGAAATACACGTTTTAAATACCACTCGTTTCAATGTCTAAAGCGCTCGCGGAATTACCTGGGATTTTTTTTATTGTTGTACCCTTTGTCTTAAAGACAAGCAAAGATGAATTTTTCCAATAAAGATTTATTTATCATTGAACAATAGGATATTTGGAGAGCTTTTATGGTTCATCAGGTGTAAAGCAAATGGCTCGAAACGTAGGAGGTCTTGATCCCAGCGGTTTCACAAGATCAATTCCTCCTTTGCCGTCGGGTTTCAGTCCTCCTTCATCTCTAGCCATTTGATTTACATATGATGAAGAGAAAATAACAGCCTCAGGAATGTTGTGTTGTTCATTTCAGACACGTATGAATTGGAAACATTCGCTCTTGGTTGTCTTTAAAGCAATTCAATATATTCAATAGGCAATTGTTATTGGTTCCATTTAATCATAAAAACATATTTCCTGTGATATTTCTCTCACACAAGTTTTGCTCATGACAAGACATGTTAGCCCTCGAGCACGAGTGCAATTCAACATGATCAATTAGGTGTTACCGACGAGAATCATACATCCAACCACGCGAACAAAACGATAACTTATTTTTTAAATTTAACAACTTAATTTCTTTTATCATATTAACGGTTTACTTCACTATTGAACATCGAAAACATTTTGGGGGGAACTCACTGTAAAGTTACTTCTAGATCATGTCTATGGTCGAACTCAGCGGGACACAAAACACGAGACATTCCGACAGACTCCCAAGACTTGTATTTGATACACCCAGGGAAAAGCGTCGAGACGGTTGCTGGGAATTATGTGATAGGGGTATAAAAAGGTTAAGGTTTTGTAAAGGATCATATAACTATCGTGAGGTCGGCATGTGTTGTCAGAGCGACCACACGGTCCTTACAGAAATAGTAAGAGGAGACAAGGCATTTATATCTTCTGTAATTGCGTGACATGGCATGCCGAGCTTGCCATCACGAGAAATTAGGATAGAGGCTTTCAATACTCAAATATTACCACTTGACCCACTCCGCGCATCTTTTGCGAAAGACGTCGGCAATCATTTTCGATGTTCAAATGTTTCGAAACTTATCCGGCTCTTTACTATTCTAAAACAAGTCAGTGCTCTTCTAAAAATCCAACTCTAATACCCAACAAGCAGCAATCAGTACGAGATATGGATTCCTCTTCTTCAGGCCAACATTTTTTACTTGAATCGTAAAAATAGGAAAGTTATTAGTCATAGTGGATGATGTAACGTGCCGTTTCAATGGGTAATGGAGTGTCAAACGTATTACGTAACGCTTAATACTTTCTAACATGTAAATTATAAATTGTTTATATTGAGTTAGACTTTAAGTGAAATCTTTTCAAACCTTTTCTTTATTATAACTGAAGGACTCCAGAGAAGATAGTTCTACCACACTTCAGATGGAAATTGTATTCTAAATCAAATCGTGTCTACAATATAACTATAACTATATGAAATCGATGGCAAACGTTACTCTATTACTCTGCTATTTGTAGTCAAAATTTAATACTACATACAGAGGCGCAAACCGGAAGGTCGAGAGCCAAAGAGATGATACCACAAGTTTTAACCAAATGTGGTGTAGATCTGATCTCAAGCCGTGGGTTCGTAGGCTTCCGCGGCCGGAGTCAATGTATTCTTGGCTATCCGGGATGAGCCGCGTCTCGGTCAATTGTACTGACGTTTCGGCCATCTTGCTGTGGCCTTCTTCAGAGCTATACTGCTGGCATACTGCTGCTATACTGCAGCAGTATACCAATCTCAACATTTCCAAGTACTCTATCTGAACGTTTGCAATTTTCGAAAAATTGGTGATGTCAACGAAACTGAGATTTGCACCATTCTTTTAAGTCTTTGGATCCTTTCCGGTATCCGAAGTTAAAGTTAAATTTAAAAAAAAAATTGGAGCAATTTTTCAGAAAATTTTGAAAATGTTGAGGCTTTACATAAAGTTACTTCAAAATCAAAATATCCGTTTCAAACTCATAGGGCCTCGAATTCATTTGAACCGATCTTAGAATTCAAACTTTTGGACTAAACTGTGTCCTCGGATAGCGTAAAGAACGCTGGATGAGGTCTCATTTAAGTTAAAATCCCCGATTGTTTGAAAATTGCAAAAGTTCAAATTTTTTCCGGCATCTTCTTACGACTACAACACTCTGAAAACTGATTTTTTTTCTCGAATGAATTATCTTCTTTAAAGGCAGATCTTGAAAGAAGGTCATGCACAATTTTTCCGAAAATACGAGTAGTTTTCGCGTTATTTTGCGTGAAATAAAGGCGATTTTTAAAGTTTTACTGAATTTTTTTTCTCAAAAAACGGCTCCAATTTTTTTCTTTACATTCTGGCTTTGATTCTATACTTTAAGAAATTTTAATAGCTGTTTATGGTATTAAAAAATTGAAAGCTCACTTCCAATGTAATCAAGGTAGGCTTGTGTCAAATTATTCTTGCTTTTCTGCATTATGTTCTGTCAATACTGTCATATTTAAATTTATATATGTTTGTTTCACTTCTAAAAGTAAGAAATTACAACTCTTCCTGACAATAGAAATAAATGCAGATGAACACGAGAGGGGAGTTGTTTGAAATATTTTTTGCAAGTTGAGGTTCTAGTATGGCAGAAATTACAATATTTTAATATGATGTAACTATTTATAATTATGTGAGAAAGTATTTGCTGTTGTTGCTCATCTAGTTTTTCTTCTGTATTACACAATAGACGTTTTTTATACGTGATAGTATTATAACTTGAACTATAATTTAGAAAATTTAGTTAACTTCAGCTTGAGATTTGCATGGTTTGTATTTTTATGTGCTTTGTCTTATTTAGTCCTTTTTTCACAGTTTCCGTCATCTTTATTGCAATCATACATGCATATTACATTGTTAAAATTAGTTTAATTAATAAAATAAGTTCCAGTTAACCGATTATTATAATTTGTGTGAAGTCGTCAAAGATACAACTACCCATGGTCAAAGGTACATCACAGTGTTCTACCATTGACCAATTTTTTTCGACAACTGCATAAAAAAGCCAACTTTGGTGCATTGCTAGCTGTATGTGACAATCATAATTTTTAATATACACTAAAAAAAATATTGTTGCAAAGACAACTATCTTGTTCCGAAGCAAAAAAGTCTTTTTGCATGGGTTTAGAATTCTCTTCTCTAATCATGGCCCTATGAAATGCATTTCTATATTATCTTTGGTATCAGGCTTCTTTTACCTATACAAGTTTACAAACTCTTTTGTATTATATTTTTATGCACTTGTAGAAAAAAGGTTGTTCATTTCTCTTATGTGAAGTTTCCATTTTTTCATTGACTCAATTCAGATGTTTTGTCTCAACCAACAGTATCAGCAAAAAATCTGAATCTTGACTGTGAAAGAAACGGGAACTTCACACATTAACATGAAAATAACTATTTCTTTCAAAAATTATTTTCAAGCATGTTTATATATAAAATTGAAGGAGAAAAAAATTAAAGAATGAAAAGTGGTTAAAGTTACAACACCTTCACCTATCTAAGATTTCTATTAAGATACAACACAGTAGGAATAGGAGCCAGAGACAGTTCATGGACAAAGTGAAGAAACTATGACAGCATTGAAAAATCTTCTCAAATTTTCAGGAAAAGGCAAAAATTCCGAACTCTAAATAAGACCAAGATAATTATGACTTTCATTATTTTCAGATTACCTTGTTGGGTTTTCGGCTGTGATTTCTGTTTTAAGGAGCCAAATGACCATAAACTTCCACTTGTACCATTGGACTCTGTAATCTGAAATTGAAAAAAAAATGTAATTCCCAATAAATCATCTTGCACTCCTTTTAGTTAGGGTAATGAAATAAAAAATGAATAAATAAAATTATGAATAAAAAAGGTCAATAAAATCAAAGAATAGGTTATTCTGTCCAAAAGAGCATTTTTTAATGGAAACTTGCAAGTGAAAAGACTGGAAGTAGCAAATGAACATTCTTTATTGAAAAAACCTATATCACTATGGAGCGGATTTCTATGATTTTGCATATTTTTGTTTCATGTTTCAGGGTATAGCTAAGTGAAATTGCTTGACAATTGGTTACAATTTAATTCTAGGTAGATTAACATGTTAGTGGATATTTGGTCAATTTTTCCTGTTGATGCATATTTGGATAACTACAGGTGCATATTTTGTTAAAATAGAGTCTTACCTCTAAAAAGTTACATCTTTTTATAGAATCTATTTGGGAGTGTTACAGTGAAATCGCAAGATGAAAATACATTGATGTTTTGCTATTGGGTTTTTTTCTTTTCTGTGGATAAAATATTTATGCAAATATAGGATTTCTCTTGATATCATATTTAAACTAGGCAGATGAACTGCAACAAGATTCAATGTACTTCACTCAGATGAATATTTACTTCAATTATTGCTCCCAAAACCTAAAATATGTTATATTACATTTGTTCAAAATATGTATTTTCATTTCAGACATGCTAGTTTTGAAATTTTATCAAGAAAAATTTACATAGACAATGAAATATTATTAATTTTAATTGCATTAAAGTTACACACCAAGAAAGCACCAAGAAAAAAAAATTGCTGTTCTATAACGCAACCCATGAATAGCTAATTAGTAATGTCCTATTCCTTGGAGCCTTGCTTTCTCATAATGTTAGCTGTGTCATTAGGAGTAGTGCATAGAGTAAGATAATTCAGTTAGTATGTGAAGAATAAGAAAAGGAGAATAACACAGTCAAATACTTGCAATATTAAGACAAATTAAAAATTGTTTGTTTTTGGATTTTTGCCAAATTCCTTGATATCTAATAAAACAATAGACACCTCTTACACGAGAGAGAACAATAGACACACCTCAGAGGATGGTCGGTTTTATTTCAATTTCTGCATGCATAGGGAATTAGTAATATAGATATTCAATACTTCTCAGAATTCTTTAATACCTACATTTCCTTTTTCTGATAATTTAACACAGAGTGGTGTCTGTTGAGGCTTTGGGGGTAAAGATGGAGGAGCTTTAGGGAGTAAATATCCATCTGAATATTCACAGCTTTCCACAATATTACGCTTTGTTGTTATCTGGAACATATAAGTGAGGTACAGAGTAAAAGAGAGATATTTTCTACACAATAAAATATATAAAATTGAAAACCTGATTTTAAAGTTCTTCAATATTATTTTATGCAGTTGTAGATAAATAGATTGAATTTAACACTGAATAACATTACATGTTTTTTAGATTACATTTTAGTATGATAGTTTAAGAGTGCAACTGCCTCATATTTGATTATTATTATTCAAGAAATATTTGTAACATAATGATATATTGAACTCATTGGATTACTGTTTTTATGAATTTTTTTAGTGGAAAATTTAGACAGCTTTCCAATTGTCTGTATGAAGCTAATGAACCATTATGTCAACTCTCAGCAGGAATGAGAATAAGCACCTCGAAGTTAAATTCTTTAATATACGATTAAGCATGGACAGATCCACAGGGAGGGATATAAGGGACATTACCCCCCTAAAATGTTTCAATAACTTAATTTTAACTTGTCATGAAAATTTCAATCACACAAATATTATCATTAAAACATATAAAACCCTATTGCAACATGAGCTGAGTGTAGCCTGTGACATTTTACAAATTCTGTAACATGACACATTTGATCAAAGTATTTTGAATTTCCCCTCCCAATATTTGTGTGTGGATCCATCCCTGCATTAAGTTAAGCTGTCTGAATGTTGAATTTTTTTAGCACAGTGTATACAATTATTTCAAGCACAAAGCTTAAAATTTCTAAAACTTTGCTTTAAAAACACTTATTACATGTAATTTTTATTTTGTGTTTCAGGGAGGATTTCAACTTACATGTTCAGGAATACTTTCATAAAACTCTTCGTGGGGAGCACCATCACAGGTGTCATTTCTAATACTTTCTTCATTAAATATGCTGTCATCATATTCTTTAGATAATCTTGGTGTTACTGTCGCCTCTGAATTTTCTTCATTTGTTTTTTGAGAATTCTTTTGAGATGTAAGAGTTAATGTTGATGTAGGTGAAATATCTTGTTTTTTCTCATTTCTAGGAGGTAAAGGAACTGGAGATTTGCGCAGAATTTCTTGATTTATGAAGGGCACGTTTTTAGAAAGCTCTTCTTGTTTCTTTATGTGAGCAGGGGGAAGAATTGGGGATTTTCTGGGAATTTCAGTGTTTTGATCTGTTTTTGATGTTTGTTGAGTTAATGCATTTATTTTTTTTGCAATATATAACTGATTTCGATGTAAACTAGAGGCAGGTGATGGATCTCTTCCAGAACTCTGAGGTATGAGAGCTTTGCAAGTACTCTCTTGTGAATTTTGGTGTACAGATTGTGTTAAATTACTTACACCATTAAATTGGGATATCTGATTTTTTATACTCCTTGCATTAATTAAATCTTCATCAATACTTTCATATTCATCCATGATATCAGGCTGAAACAGAATGTATCTTTAAAGAAGTTGTTTCTTATTTATCAATGTGCATAAAGAACAAATTATACAAAAAGAAGTCATTAGAATTACTTAAATTAAAAGAAGTAAAAATATATTTATGAATAATTGAATATCTATTTCTGAATTTACAAATAAAATTTGGAGGAAAAAAACAGAAGGAGATTACTCATTATATAATTGTATTCCAAGAGAGAAACTTTTATGTTCTCTGTTATTTTGGAGTATCTATCATTTATTAACTGTATTTATATATTGTAAAATAAAAACAGAAAACACTGTTTACAATGTATGGTGGGGGGAAAAATCTGTGCATATAATATAGTGTAAGTGATGTGCATATAGTATGATGCACGTGATACATAGACAATGTAAAGAACTGGAAATTTGCAATCCAACTCACCTCTAACTGTAGTTTATCACAAATATCTCTTAAGACTGAGCCTTCTTTATCACTAAAAAATAAGAGTACACATTATAACTACAGTGATTTAATATTACCTAAATAAGTATGTATGTATATATATATTTTGTAACATCACAGACAAATAAGGAATTATTTAAAATAAAAAAGTATAATTTGGGTATCCAAAAAAACTTACAAAGCTGGTGGTTTTGGTAACGTAGACTGTATAATATCCCTAGAAGATGACACATGCAGACTTGGAGGACGTGAAGGTATCGTAGGTTTTACATTCTTCCCTTCATTAGATAGATCATTTCTAACTGATTCAGTTACTCCATTATATTTTAGAAATGGTGGTTTTATAACTTTTCCCAAGGATGTGTTTGTAGAGGAACCATTTTGAGGAAGTTGTGAAGTTGAAAATACTGAGGGAATATTAACTTTACTCCGTGACAGACAAGTACTAAGCCTATTAATTGGTGACACATGATTGTCATCGGTTTGAGTATTAAAAGTTTTATTGACTAAATTTTGAACTTCTAAATTTCCATTTTCTTGAGAGGGATTTTGAATAGGATGCAATTGTTTCTCCACATTTATTGCATGAGGAATGGTTTCAGCCTGAAATAAGATAGACCCAACATATTCACTTGCAAAATAAAAACGTAATACATTATTTTGGATTAGAAATAGTACACATTTCTATTTTACAAACCTCATGATAATCATCATCTTCCGTTTCAAAATCTGTGTCCCAGGCATCATCACTGTTGGATGATGTGCTGCAGAGTGTAAATTTTGCAGGCATTTTACTAATATCTTGAATGAATGATGCCAATTTTCTGTCGAAGATGAAACACAAAAGAGAAAAATTATTTAGCTTATGTTTGAAACTTTTAAAACAATAAACAAACAGAATGTGGAAAGATATTGGACCAATTTAAAACAAGCCATCAAAGAAACAGCTAAAGAAACAGGCCATAAAACATCAAAAAGACAAAAAACAAAAATGTGAAGGGCCTAGATTGAAGAAATACAGAATCTGATTAACAAGAAGCTGCAAGTTTATCAGAAGTGTCTAGTCATGCATAATAGTCCCCAAAGAATGAGTTTTAAAATAAAGAATGCTCAAAGATCACACAAGAGTCATCTGCATAGATCTCATTCCTGATGAGAAATGGACAGATCACTAAAAGACTTAATGGCTTGATGATGACATGACAGATTCAAGAATGAAAAATATTCAAAGAACAAAAAATAGTGCCACAGATATCAAAAGGAGAGCTTGAAAGGATAAAAGCTACACCAGAAAAAGTATAGGAAACGATGGAATTGCCATGAAGCTAATAAAATACAATGGTAAAGAAGCCAAGGACATCTTGATAGAACTGTTCAACAAAGTTTGGCAGAAACAATTTCAAAAGAATGGCAGTCAGGAGTAATACATTGCACAAGAAAGGATCAAGAATGAACATATGAAATAACATTGATTAGTATATTAAAAATGCCTTAAATTTAAAAATATGACAGAAAATTATACATAAAGGTGGAAGAAAATAATAAAATAATGTAACACATATCTTAGGGTCATTAGTGAGATTTGGAATTGAATTTATTTGAAATATAATTTTATTTTGAATTTAAGGACATTATTGAACTATTCCAATAATGAAATTAACTCCAATGGTATTTAATAACATATCAGTTATGGACCAATTAAGAAAGTATGTCTCAAAGTAATAATTTTTTCTTACTAATTTTTTATACCACCTCACTTCTGGTCTAAGCTGCAATACATCAATTAGCCTACAGGAGGCACAGTACATCATGCTTTGTTCGAATAAGGGCCATTTGCGTTCTTTTACTGTTAGAAATAGCATGACAGAACAGGCACTGAACACAAAACATTAATAAATACTATTAATATTTGGTGCATTCTGAAAACCAATTGGATTTAATTTCATTTGTGGAACAGTCATATCACTTGTGTGTTGTAAATTTTATTGAAAATTTACAATGCAACTGATTTACAATCAATTGTCTACAACCAAATATCATTTGTAATAGATTCTGTAAGTCCTTTTTATTTTCTTCCCAGAAATAAATAAAAATAAAACTTACCGAATATTGGGAATAGAGAGATCTTTTTTCCATAATCCTAATTTCATTTCAGATAATTCCTGTAGAAATAAAAATGTGTTTGTTAATTGTTAAATCACTTATAAGTTTACACTGTATTAATGAAAATATGTTTAAAAACTCATTTATTAAACACAAAATTAAACTTGAAAATCACAGTAGGCCTGTAGCATACAAGTAATATATATTTAATACCAAAAAGAAGCGAACATTAATTTCAATTTGAAGATACTGAATTCTGTGAAAGTTAATAGTTTAAGATATTCACATGATATCACAGAAAAACTATTATGTTACATGAATTTTCAAAGCCATAGCTCCAATGTGGAGGGCTCAGTGAAAGATAATCATAGAAAGCCATATTCGCGCACTTTTGAAATACAGCCCATTTATGATTTGGCAAATACATGCAAATCAATTGAGGGCCAAGATGCTAGGTCAGGTTATCCCACCATGTGGCTAGAAATGGCAATCAACAACTTTGAATGTCTGTACGGTTGCTCAGAGATAATCATAACTTGAAATACTGAAAATTGTGGCTTATAGCTCTCTCATACACCCATCCATATATTAACTATTGATTATACAGAGTGGAAGTAAAGCCTGGTATCCCAAGTTGTAGATTAACTGCATGTAAAAGTTTCTCAAGTCTAAACGAAGCCTCCGAGCTAAATTCTAATTGTCTGTTTCATTACTCCAGTGATTCTTTCACTGCCAGATGGCAAAAGTAGAGCAGTGAATTTCTGTGTTCAGATGGTAGAGCAGACCTGATGGCCACATAAAATAAAGCATTGTTGAACTGAATTGAATTGTGCATAAATATGAGTTTGTAGGTCAGAAACACAAATATTACAATTTAAAATTCACTTGTAATTTTTTGGTGATTCTTGTAGAACATGAAATAAATAAAAAAGAGATTAGATAAAACAATATTTACCAGTAATTTGTCTCCATTGATGTCTCTCTTCTTACAAGCTTCAACACATTCACTTAGACCATTCTGAAAAAGAAGAAAAAAATCATTACTGATGAAACATAATTAGAAGAAAACAAAGACAGGAATATTAGATTTTGTGACTTTTAGAATGTGTGAAGGGAGGAATCAATGATAATAATTGTAGAATGTCTATAACACTATGCCCTATAATTAAAATTTTACCTGTTAATTACTAGGAATTCAATACAATTATTGTCAGAACACTATTGTATATAAATCTCAATTCACTGAATAGTAAATCACTCCTGACCTCCTCCCTCATGAAATCCACACAATATTTGAAAAATCTGGCATCAGATTCATGTCTTGCTGCATTATGAATGAATTTCCAAATGTGGAAATTTGAAGTTTACTACAACTAACACTTCTTTTACCTTTGTGCGTTCTTGAATCAAATTGAGTACCACTGTAATATTATTCACGTTTGGCTTTTCAATATATTGCAATATCAATATATTAGTATTTTGAAAATGTTTACCATCTCTAGGCATTGCCACTCTACATTCATTGTATGTATCATTCTATCATTTAATGAGAGAGATATTATCTCTCTCATTAAATGATATAATGGATATTTTATCTTCCCTACATGTCTTTCTTTCTTCAGAAAAAAATGCAATTCTTTTAGAATTATTTATCCATCTTTAACTATGGGAACATAAAATTAGATTTCTGTGTATTACATTCCACATATGTTCTTTCAATAAATTCTAGTAGAATGTATGTGTTTGGCACATACTATCTTAGGGGGGCAAATGCACATAAAAATAAATAGAAATAGTCCCATTTGTGTGACCAGTAAGTTCATAGCTATGTTGATATTCATTTGTTATTGTTGAAGCTATTATCATAACTAGAAATGTTATGAATGTTGTTACTGCTGAGGCCAAAAGTTAAAAATCGTGGCGAAGCGTAACGGAGACGAGATTTTTAATTTGGACGGGGCAGTCATAAAAATGCAACATTTCGTGGTTATGTTCAAAGTTTTATAGGTCACCATAAAAATCTCACGATTTATGCGAAAAATGTCATTACTGCGATAGTAAACAAATAAATTCTGTTGCTGCGGCACGTTATTAATTCGATATGGTGGGGTGTTGCTTGCGATATATCAATTTAAACAATATTTGTATACCGTGATTTGAGAAAAGATGGATACAAATAATTCTCCTGAACCTAATGGTTCTTAAAGAAACGACGTTCGACGAGGAAGATGGCGCGTCGACTTCCAATGGCGACACCTTCAGATCGTCAGTAAATTACCGGAGAAGAGTTTAATTTGGTGGAATGCTAGGAAAATCAGGTTAGTTTACCTAATACACATATTAATATTACAATTACCAATAATTATACTAATACGAGTTACTTTTATTGTGAATTGCTTGAATCTGATTTGTATAAAGCATCACCAATTTTTTTTAATAAACATATGATTTGGCGATGAATCGATGGTTGTTTATTTACGTGGCTAAGGATGTTAAATTTTTTAACATACATGTAGGTACAAGTGCACTTAACAAACCTGCAGGAGTTAAAGACGCATGAGACCGATAAAGTACGTTAATGTTATATTTACTATGTATTAAACTCTCAAATAAATGATACCGGTAAACCCGTGCGATAAAAACCTACGCTTTATTCTGGGAAAATGTTTGGTACTCCAAAATGATTCGAGAGATTTTATTCTATGATCATTCTATGAGCAGGTCTCGAATTTCTGTGAAAACCGGTAGGAAGCGAGCCGCTCCGTTTCCGCACAGGATGCCTTTCCGACGGCTTCCGACAGCCAGCACCACAACCGCACGGGACTTCCCAGCGCGTCTTCGCCAGCTGCAGGGCCCTTCCTGGCTCGTGAGCGGACGGGGGTTCTGCCCTCAGCTCGCGTCTGTCGCTGCTTCCAAATCACGCAGTGACCTCTGATTTTTCTGGAAATTTTTCGTTTTTTCGAGTGTATGTTGCGTTCTGTTTGTTTTTGAATTCCAATTAATTTAGTTTTAAATCAATGTCCTAATTCTATAATTAAATATTGTTTCGTCGCATATTTTCCTAGCCATTTTAGGCATACTTTGACGAAAAAATATTTTATTACATTCTGAAATTTTCATTTATACATAAAATAAGTAATAGTAATAAATAATACTAGTATTAATAAGAAAATAAGTAAACGTAAAATTATATTTAACAATTGTACATAGTCACTTAATGAACCAGATAACTTTTTGACGCTTGGCTCGGATTTCGTGAGTCTGTTGAATAAAACAATTGGAAATGCTCCCATCTTTTTTCTCAATCCTTTGTAAAGCCTTGGGATCCTGCAAAGAGTTTCGATTCAAAACAATCTCGTAACTGCTCAGATGAATGGTTGAAATATCATTTTTCATCACACGTGTATGAATGTTTATTTTTAGCACATTAGCAGACGTGAAGGTGGCTGGCCTTGCATCTTAAGTTATACAAAACTATGTGGTGCTATGAAATGACACAGTCTTCCAAATTCTTGACAGTTTTCCGTTCTTTTGATTCAGGGCTGACTTTTGTGATTAAACTCCACTCCGGACGCCATCTATCGGCGGTTAAGGGACTATCAGAGTCTCTTGAGGTAAATATAGCTTCCGCGGGGACAATTCTCAGTGAAGTACCACCCTCACACTCCATTATCGTCACTCGCAAAGAGCCCATAGGCCATGTCATTACATATACACTAATGTGATCAAAAGTGTTCGGACACGTCCAAAATGGTGTTACGGTGTGATCGTGTTTTTCATGGAGGAGGCTTGCACCCCCTGTTTTGTGTGGGACTATACAGGCCTACGTTGATGTTTTAAACATCTTGCTTCCCATTGTTGAAGAGCAATTCGGAGATGGCAATTGCATCTTTCAACACGATCGTGCACATGTTCATACTGCACGGCTTGTGGCGGAGTGGTTAAACGACAATAACATCCCTGTAATGGACTTGCCTGCACAGAGTCCTGACTTGAATCCTATCGAATATCTTTGGGACGTTCTGGAACACCGATTTCGTACCAGGCCTTATCGACTTACATCTATACCTCTCCTCAGTGCAGCATTCCGTGAAGATTGGGCTGTCATTCCCCAAGAAACCTTCCAGCACCTGATTGGAAGTATGCCTGCGAGAGAGGAAGCTGTCATCAAGGCTTAGGGTGGGCCCATACCCTACTGAATTCCAGCATTACCGATGGAGGGCGCCACGAATTGATAAGGCATTTTCAGCCACGTGTCCGGATACTTTTGATCACAGAGTTTATGCAAGGAATGAGCCCTTGGCACCACCTCGACGCCTGTACCATTGTTCTGGGGGTAGGAAATCCTCAATTATGCACACAGGCACACAGATCGCACGGTTACGGGACAGAGGAAGGGATAATGATGGAATTAGAATGTAGAAGTGATACACAAGGGACTGGGAATATCCCTCATGGCACAGACACAGTTCATAAATTACGTAACGCTAAAGAGGGGGAAAGGGGTCTGAGGCTGCATGGCATAGGGGTTGGGGTATTAATTACGTGTTACGTAACATTGATATTTCGTTATTTACATTTTTCAACATTTGCTGAAATTATTCCTTTTAGAGTCCTGTACGAAAACGATAAAACATTAACTAATTAATTTGTTTTAAAAGCGTAAATGAACTTAAGTTAACAGTTGTATCTTGATTTCCAGAACCTCTTCCCAACATTTGAACTATAAATAGTTGAAAGATAAATAAAATTCAATAATAATGATAATAAAATTGAAAAAAACATGAGATCAGCAACATTTATAGAAACTATAAATTTTCCTTCCGGAGTTATAGAAAACTTATTTGCACCGGCAAACGAACTCCAGATTTGATTCCTCTGTATTGCCAACAAAATAGCAATTTAGCCACAGCTCTACTCCTACCACCACTACACGCAAAAGGAGAGTTCAACAAAACGTGGGCATAATGAAGCTACATTTATGTCTAGAAGCAAAACAACCGGACCGACGGAGAACGCGAAAAACAATCATCCTGGGTCGTTCTCATTTTTGCGATTCTCTTCAAAACCGCAAGTCGCGTTTTTCAGCTTTTATTTGCTGCATTCCGAACTCACACATTCACAGAGAATTACAAATTGAACCTCTTGAACAATGTATCAGCTTTCTAACCGAAAATTCTCCAATCTCTCATCTCCACCTTTCATTAATACCTTGCACCTAGGAAAAACAAAACAAAATTGCCCTATACTTTCAAGATATCCAAATGATACTCCATGGACCCCATGAACATTCAGTAAATTTAAATATAAAATTCATGAAGATTATTGAAGTTAAAAATGAAGGAGAAGTATCAGTATTGCTTGATTTTATTTCATTATTACATCACATGAATGAATGTTACTGAATGTTAATGAATGTTAATGAACGTGACTGCGGAAATCGTTCCAAAAGTTGTTATAAAATTGAAAACCCCTGTAAAAAAATTGCTATTGAACAAATGAACCAGCGGAGAAAGACGCCAAAAATAGTGACAGTGCAACCGTGAAGAAGGGCCTTGAGGGCGCTTGAGGGGCAGTGTTAGAAAAATCGCAGTATAAGCACATCTTCGTTTTCGGCGTTTATTCTCATTCACTCTTCCCTGCCTCGTTTCTCGGAGCGCGGGACGAAACGCGCCCCTACCTTTCGCGCCGCGGCAGCGCTCGCGCTCACGTCGCCTGCCGACGGAGCCCCCCGGGGCGCGGTGTCGTATTTATACCCGCGCGGGGCTGAAAGAGCGCGCGCCCCGCGTCCTCCCGTGAATGAGAGAAAAGCTCGCGGTCACCAACACACGCACGACAAGGCACGGACGCAAAGAAGCTTTTTTGTTTATTGATTCTTCCTGTTCTCTTAAACGATGTTACGATTTTTATTATTTCCTCGCTCATTATACTGCGATTTTTCTAACTCTCAGCCTCTTAAGCGACCTCAAGGTCTTTCTTCACGGTGGCCCTGTCATTATTTTTCGCATCTATCTTCGC